ATAACGAACTTCCGGATATAACGATCACTTTTTAGGTTAGTTGTATATTCACTTTCCGTTTATAACGAACTTCCACGCTCAGCAACACCAATCCTGGGGAGTTGTTTATATTAGTGATAGCGAGAGACACCCAATGACTTGTTGTTTTTTGCCGCGTTATGTATGCAAATCGTTTTAGAATGGAAAAAGAAAAACGCAAATCTTTTTCACTAAATGAAAAGTACGAGATTAACAAAATAAAAAGTGGAGTAAAGCAGAGTGACATTTGTAAGGAATCAGCACTTGGAAAGTCTACTGTTGCAACAATATGGAAAAACAGAGAAAACATTTTATCAGCGTATGACAAAGCAAATGTTAGATGTAGGAAGTTAAAATTATCTGCACATGAAAAGGTTGACAAGGGACTTACTAAGTGGTTTACTCAAAAAAGACAAGAAAACGTTCCCATAAGTGGCAGTGTTTTGCAAGAAAATGTTAGTGAAATGGGGAGTAAAATCAAAAACAAAGAGTTTGCTTGTTCTAAAAGTTGGGAAGAGGTTTCAAGAAGAGGCATAATATCAGCAGCGGAAAAATTGTTGGAGAGTCTGCCGGTGAAAAATTCTTCTTATGAAAACGTTAGAGGCGAGATCGATAAAAATGAAACATTTTCTATAAATCTCTTAGATGCAGTCAATTTCATTCATAGATCTTGGCAAAAAGTTAGCCGAAAAACCATTGCAAATTGCTTTAAGCATGGGAGATTTGTAAGAAAAGAAAATGATGATATGAAACAGACGATGAAATTCCACTTAACGAATGGTTAGAAAAGTATAAAGACTCTAACTACGAGTATGCCACAGACGAAAATGTCTCAATGTTGTCGAAGAACAAGTTAAAACCAAATTGAGTGATTTCAATTTTTTCGAATATGTGAGCATTGATAATGGCATTCTTACAAGAGAAATGTTGACCGATGAGCAAATTATAGACTCCGTAACCGCATCTACAGCTTTAAGCGATAATGAGAAGATGACGATTTAGGTGAAACGTATTCTACTGTAGACACTAATGTTGTTCCAACCATTTCTGAAATGACAAAAAAAGTGTCGGAATCTCGGAATTTTCTACAATCACGCCAAGTTCCTAATCATATCTGGGAGTCCTTTTGTGATCTTGAAAACTACATAAATAACATCTATTTTTGCAGCAGAA